GAAAAACTGGCATATCAGTGGGGAGGAAGGTTGTGAAGTGGGTGAGAAAATGTTAACTTCCAAACCAGTCTTACCTCCTCTCATCCAAAGATGGAACCCCACATTACAAAGGTGGAGGGACCAGTGAAGGCACATCAATATTCAATCAAGTGGAAAGCTACTGCACTGAAAGAACAGGTGAGCAGAAATATGAAAAGAAATCACACCTGGGAGATATGGCAGTACTTCTGCAACAGGTATGCTCTTCGCCCAGCAATTCACACAGTAACAGAAAGACTGCAGAACAGAATTGATAGGCACTAATGCATTTAGGAAAGAGACGTACAGCACCAAATCAGTTGAGAAGTGCTGTATAAATATGACTTGAAACAGTATGGCATGGACAAACATGGAAGGGCTAGCATGTAAGCAACAATGGGCCCGAATAAGTATGTGCCATGGGTAGTGCCTTGAATTACATCAGAGTATGTCAAGTCCGGTTCATCCAACAGGCAAAACATCCAGTGGAAATGCCTTGTATACAATATTGTGATCAACAAGTGTGGTCCTCCTGGTCAAAAAAAAAAATCCTAAGGAAGTGCCATGGTTACATAGGATTATGAGAAAAAAATAATTGCAGGTATGAAATGATTGTGAGGTTTTCATAACCAGCCCATTATTAACACATACATCATACTTTGTCCACATATGTAATTGTGAGGGTTTTCATAACCAGCTCATTGTTAACATATACAACATACTTTGTCCACATATATAGCAAGCTGTAGTACCAAACATAGTATGGTGCCAGACCATAACAAAGTAATTAGACATGGCTAGGGCTAAAGGCCTATGAATTGTATATGAATAGGTGCAGTTCACATAGGCAAAAAACATCCAGGGGAAGCACCTTGGGATACATTGGGTTATGCCATGACAGTCAATCTGGGCAAAAACATCCAGTGGAAGTGCCTTGCGCAAGCTTGTGAGATCAACAAGTGCAGTCCACCTGGGGAGCAAAACATCCAGGTGAAGCACCTTGGATATACAATAGTAAGGCCAAGTGTGGTACCCTTGAGCAAAAACATCCAGGGGAAGCACCTTAGAATACGTTAGAGAATGCAAGTGCAGTCCATCTGGACAAATACATCCAGTGGAAGTGTCTTGCATAAGATATAGGGAACAACAAGTGGAGTCCACCTAGGCAACACCCAGGGGTAAGTGCCTTGGATAGATAAGATAAGGCCAAGTGTGGTCCACCCCGGCAAAAAAAATATCCAAGGGAAGCACCTAACTAATCAACCACTGAGCAGAGAAGGAATGAAAGACCTAAATTATCAAATGCAGAAATTATGTACATCCACAGAGGCTCACATAAACTCGTTAAATATGGGTATACCTACTGGGAGTGAGGAATATGCATTAAAAACTTACCACAGATTTCCTGGGAAAAAAGAACAATACCTAAACCAGCAGATAACATGGAGGCACAGTAACAGGTGGAAAGTGCCATAGAAAGAAATTTGCACTCAGTAGTTATATCCCTCCTCATAAAAAATCTTACATGAAAGGAAGAAATTGTCGGCCAAATGTAAGACAAGCACTCCCTGTGAACTCAAGTCTGTGCTACCCCAGCAGACATCATCAACCCCGAGACTTAGGGACTTGTGTCAGAACCACTGTCTACTATCACGAGAATTTCATGATCTACCATGTTAAACCTCGAATTCATATGAACACAATAGAATTCAGAACACAAAAATATTTCTAAAACAAATGACTAGAAACAATGGAAATCCAACCCAATAAGTGGAAACTGATATAAATTTGTGATCAAGCACAATCAAAATTATGTAGTCACCTGGAAAACGAGTTAAAACACATGTCCATACACTGGAATACCAATCAAGAAAGTGAGAATTGTTCTAGAATATTAGAGGGAGCTAGCTATGCTAGCATAAGTGGCACAGTATGATCGATGGAGGGTAGTCACATGATCAGTATATGCTCTAAAATGGCATGAAACTGATGGGGTATAAAAGACTGGTGCACTGCTAGTGAACATTTTTTTTAGAAATTCTTAAAGGGCAAACCAGGATTTAGAGAGTGTTAGATAAGAAGAGATAAGAATATTTCAAAACCAAAGAAACATCCCATGTCAGCATATCACAATAAAAAAGATGAGAGAAGAAATGATTTGCTAAACCTTGAAACCACACCATTTTCCAAAAGAGACTTAAATGAGAATAAAAGAATGTACTTAAGAGCTTAAAGACAGAAAATGATAGATTTTTATCTTCACACAATTATAAACAAAAGTCATACAGGTAAACAGTAGAAGACTGCTTGGAGTTAATATCCTGACATTTGCAATGTCTTCACCTTCTGTTGAAGGGTAAAGATACAGCAAGACTAAGGATTTAATCTGAATGCAAAAAGGCAAAAATTTGCTTTTCAGATAAAAGACCTACATTTAGAGTAAGTTATACTGTCCTGCCACTAGCAACAGCACACTGCTAGGATACCTTTAGAGACTGATTGACTATTACATCAAGATCCATTTTCTTCATAACACTGTTAAGGTTATTCCCATCCAAACTATACTAATAATTCAAATTATGATAACCCACATGCATTATTTTGCATTTATTATAATCAAAAACCATCTGCCATTTATTTGTCCATCTCATAAAATGATCTAAATCCTTTTGTAAATCAGCAGTATCCTCTTCACAGCTAGCAACACTAAGACCTTAATATCATCTGCAAATTTAAGTAATTTATGTAAATCAAAAAAAGCAAAGGTCCTAAGACTGAGCCCTGAGGTACCCTCCTGTGACATTAGTCCAGTTTGCCTGAACTCCATTTGTAACAACCTTCTGCTTTCTTCCATCCAGCCACTCTTCTATCCAATTTGCTAACTTATCCACTGCACTTACATAGATATTTTTATACAAGCCTTTTATGTGGCACCTTGTCAAATGCTTTCTGAAAATACAGATACACCAAACCTACACCCTTACCCTCATCTACATAAGCAGTAACTTTTTAAAGACTGTCAAAATATTTGTAAGGCAAGATTTTCCTTTAGTGAAATCATGTTGACTATCCAATAAAATTTTAAACTTTGTTAAATGACATTGCAAAGCACCTAATTAGCAGACTTTCCAAAACTTTTCCTACAACTGATGTAAGACTAATAGCCCTATAACTACTGGGACAATTTTTATTAACTCCCTTGAAAAGAGGAGTGACATTAGCTAATTTCTAATCCTCTGGTACCTGCCCACAATTCAAGGACTGACAAAAAATAGTAATAAGAATGAATCTCTTTTTTTCTCTCTCTCTCTCTGAAAGTGTCAAAACTGCATTCACAAAACAATACACATTCTATCTGTATTTGAACAATCTAAAAATAGATTACATTACATGTGACAGTCAAAAAAGGTATCCCCCAAACCCAAGATCAAGCAGTACAGGATTCAATTCCATGAAACAGCAGAAAAGTCTCTTGACTGTTTATCTATAACAGCTCAAGGTGAATTTTGCACTCTCTCTCTCAACCAGATTTAGTATGTCCCAAAATTTGAACTTAGAAACATTTTTAGATTATTAGATAAAAAATATATACAATGGGAAAGTAAGATACATGGTATTTATATGCTACAAATGTACTCACAGTAGCCTCATTTATACCCTAGCTATACTTTGAAGTAATTTAAAGCTACTCAAAATTTGGTTTATGTTTCTTGGCCTAAAGAGTAAGAAAGTCTGAAATTCTTTTTAGTTTTGAAAGTTTAGTTTTAAACTTTTTATAATTCTAATGTAAAAATAAAAATAATATATAACAAAAGTTTTTATCTACTGCATCAAATAAATGGTGATCATTCTAAGCACAATTTAAAATAGAGATATGATTCTTCCATAAGGAACAACAAGAAGAACATTCTGAACTGTGATAGTACTTTGTTAGAGAATTTACAGGAAAGGTCTACAAAAAAAAATGTAAAAAGCATAGTATTCTATCTGAAGTTTACTTGAGATGAATACATATAATTATATCACATCTCCAAGTGGCTCATAAAGCATTATACATCTCAATAAATTTCTAAACTATTAAAAGACAATATGGATTATATGCATTGATTAAATATTTTTCCAAACTGATACTGTCATTTTAAGCACTAAATTATAAATTTTGAATGCTACAACATAGTTTTATTTTTACTAGCTTACAAGCTACATATGTTCATATATATAGTTATTTTTTTATATGATGTTTCAAAAACACAAAAGTACTACTACTATCAATATTCATGTAACATACATATGTTTTAACCAATGTTTACCTTGCTATTTCTTTATGTTTTATATTCAATATTACTATTAAACAAGTTAATTATTCATTAATTTTTGGAGTTGATTCATTTGTTCTACATCACTAATTTTTGTTTATTTGTCGTGTTTTCTCATCTGCATGCTATATTTTTCTTTTGTTCTTTTGTCATAAAAGCTGGATAACTCCAGGTTTTATATTTTTTATTATGTTTCGTTAGTCTTACTACTTGAAATTCCCACACTTATACTGTTATAGATATTTTTGTCAAATATTTGCTATAATTTTTTTCATTGCATCTTTACACTTATACTTTAACTTCTTAAATCCCCAAAATACATTTCATCCCAATTATTTTTTGTTCTCTATTTCTGACTTAATGTTTTATACAAGTATGTTTTGTTTTCAATTTAGATTATTATTATTATTTGTGCTAAAGATTAACCACTAGTGAAATCTGTCAAAAATTACAGTGATAAGATTAAGAACATTTTGAAAGGCTAGTGCCAAAACTACTAGCATTTTCAAAAACTTAAGAACCTTATATTTAATCTAGCCCTATTACTGTTAAGTCAAATGGTCCATGGAAATTATCAATCTCAAACTTGAATACCTAATGTCATAACAGTAACACAGTCATTCATAATTTATATTTTAAATGGCCTTCGATTATAAGTTAACTTGCCTTCAGTAACCTTTGAAAGTTTTAAAACTTCGTCGGGTGTAATGTATTCCTTTTGTAACAATTCTTCTTCTGTTACGGCTTGAGTATTCGATGAATTCCCAATTCTATTGTTGCTCTCCGAAACCTCATTTCTTGACTGCCCAATACATCTTCCAGTGGAAGGAAGCACTTTACACGAACTGGAACTTTTGACTGCACTCATTCTCTAACAGAACTAGATAAATATGAGCTTAATGTTTATTTTTATATATAATACGCTCTTAACTAATAGAAGAAAAATTAGGGAAGTAATACATAGACTAGACAACAATGTTTGTTAGTATTAAAAACACCTGCAAACCATAGCGACCACAAGCACAACAAATATTTTACCCACCGGTATTTCGCTGAGCGCGCCCTCTCACATATGATACTGTTAGAATAATTCGACAGCACAAGTTTCAGGCATAACATGCAAAGTTTATCACAGTTTTGGATGCAGCAGTGGTGCTGTTAGCTGGCTGTTCAGCTTTAGTTTTATATTTCGAATAAAGAGTGCTTCTTTTTTCCTTAACGTACATTCATCTGTCACTGAGTCTATTATTTTTTCAAAGGAGAATGGTAACAAAATATTGCATACTATAAAAGAGAAAGCCATTTAAATGAATACTTCTCATGAAAAATGTATTATTGGACGTAGAATTACTCGTGACTAAGAGGTTCAATTTAACAATAGGAGAGAAATACTTGTATTGAAAATTTCTAGTCTAGAAGAATTTTTCTCCTGCTCTTGTCTACTACACCTACACCCCTGAAGATTTCAGTGGAAGGGAAGCACAGGTGATTGAAGTTCGCTGAAATGGATTACAACTTGAAAAGTTTGAGATCACGTATGAAGGTCTTTACCGAATTCTTAGTGTTGCATGTCTGATCAAACCAACCCAAATTCTGGTGAACATAGTTTGGGAATGCTATTTGTGGATACTATTCACCAGTCAGAGTTGTCTTCCCTGCAAATGAGACAAGGGACACTGGTGGGTGGAAACCATGACCAATGGGGTGAGGTACCTTTCATGACCAAAGGTACACTATAACATTGATGACAGCTCGGATGATACATAGCTGTATGATGAGCCACCTGAAGTAGCTCATTGCCCTATAGCCCTGAACCAGGGGTCGACTGTCCATTTGGGTGTCAAGGTCCCAATGAGTGGTTTCCTCGGAACTGAGAAGATTGGCGGCATTCTCCTAGCGTTTGTTGAGATTATGAGAGATAGAGGATTTGGTCCACTATATCAGCTTCTGTGATTTAGGCCAAACTGATTATGTCTCCAATTTTCAAAGGAACAGCACTAGAGAACCTTAAAACGTTTCAGGCAGGTCTCGGCCTAGAATTTATTTACTCAGTAAATGGCTGTACAACTCCTGGTCCTGAGCTCAGATGGCGTGTACCTTGCTGCTGTCAAACATATGGATAAGGAGCAGCAAGATAACTGGGAAACAATCAGGTACAAGCTGTGTTGCTAATTCAACCCAGTGGAGAATTTTATAGTCTATCAGGCCACGTTTAAGGTTTGGAGGAGAATCTGGACTGAGAAACTGGAAACCTTTATGGATGATCTAAACCAATTACAAAGGAAGTCTACCCAGTAATGGCCTTGGCAGGTCAGGAGAACATATTGATTGATAATTTCATTGAGTAACTCTCCATTATTCTTATGCAACAGCATTTGAGTGTGCGAGATATCACCACTCCCACAGAAGCAGTGTCTATAATGAAATACTTAGAAGTAGTCACTTCAAGCTGGCCTTTTAAAACAAAGAAGTCTACAGTGATCATAGTAGTGACAATTCTACAAACAGAAGGTGTGAGCTAATTACCTCCACTGTAGCAGGCTAAACCAAGTCAGAGGATTAACAACTAGCTGCCTCTGTGGGACAGAAACATGATACAATCACACTGGCCACAAGTGATTGGGCAGGGCGATGTGCACCCATCTATGGGGCACATCCCACAGCAAGATCTCTCTACTGGATATGTACTGTAGCAAGATCCATCCAAGGAATATATACTGTAGCCATAGATGATATCTTCACTTGGTCATCATCCAAGAAAGGAAGAGCATACTTTACAGTATAGCAGAAATATCAGAGCTATTGGTTCCAGTTAATGACTCAGCAGATGTCTACCGACCTATTGATTATCACAATAGGCAACAGTATTGCTACTTGCCATTGAATCAGCAGATCCAACAACAAGCAGAGGATATTGTGTCAAATGCTCCAGAAAATTGGTAGAAGCTAAGTTGGGATTGTTCATTACCTTGGAAGAATACAGCAGACAGTTTGCACTAAAGATTTTAGTGGTCAGTCGACCTATGTCAGGTTTGTGTAGAGATTGGTACATGCCAATAAAGGTACAAGGGCAAACGTTTGAATTCCTGGTAGATACAGAAATGGCAAGGACATGAATAAACATTATAATATTTTAAGCCCTCGAGTAAGACCAATACTATAACAAATGAATATCAGTTTCATTGTGGCAAATGGTAATAAGCTAAATGTTAGAGAAAAAATGGATCTATGGCTCAGTCTAGTAGATGACATACATGAAATGAAAGTAGTTCTCTCCAATATTGGAACTGGACTTGACATCCTCAGGATAGATACGTTTCGTGGGAAAGTCATCCAATGACACCTAGATTGAGCCAAAGAACAGTAGACTGCAAGAGTTTATGTAATGAAAAGAATGATAATACTTCTATGTACACAAGCGATGTATTGTGGTTTAATATGTACAAAGTTTAATGTAACGATGCTGTATACTGTAATCATAGAAGCTACACATGAAATAAACCGTTTCTCTAGAAAGCAGACAGTATTAGAATGGGCAGTGATCAGTCCAACAATGCATGAAGTTTAGTGTTGCTCTGTAACAATGAATGATCTGCTGATGGATATTACACTTAAGAAACTGCAATGGGAGTGATGCCTGTTCTCCATCGATGATGTTTCGATTTTGAACACACTTTTAAGTCCACATCTTAGAACCTAAAAATGGTATTCCACTGCATACAAAAGGCAGGCATGTAACTGAAGCCAGGAAAGTGTTTGCTCACATGAAAGAAAGAAAGAGAGAAATTGAATTTCGACAGACATGGCTAAGCTGCAGTAAGAGATTTTCCTTGACCCATGGCAAAGTGAGAAATCCATAGTTTTCTTAATTATGGGTCATACTACTGAAGATAGATGTCCAACTTCTCGAAGATAGCAGCACCATTGTAGGCTCTCACGAAAGTGGAAATGCACTTTGAATGGAATGTGGAATGTGATCAAGTGTTCTTATCCTTAAAACTAACTTTAGTGGATGCTTCAGTGCTGACTTATGCACACCAAGACTGTAAGATTCTCTTGAACACTGAAAACCAATGACAATGGAATTGGAGCAGTGTCATCACAGTTACAGGACACAGTAGAACATCTAATTTGCATACATTAGTTGTATACTCATAGTTTTAGGATGAAGATACTGTAGTGTATGGTGACGAAAGAGATGCTTCCAATGGCTGTCTTTATGAAACACTATCACCACTACTTCTGTGAAAGGAAGTTCGCCATCTGGGTGGACCATGCTTCTCTGAAGTTGTTAGTAAACTTTCAAAATTTCTAGAAGATAATAGCATGTTGGATAACAACATTGCAAGAATATTATTTTATCGTAGTTCATCACTCAGGCCCACAACACAGAAACACTGACAGACTATCTTGCTACACATTGAGACCTTGTCTGTTTCTGGAAATTTCTATCCTGGATACTATGTAGCAGCCATAATGAAAGCTTATTATCAAGTAAATGACTCCACTGAAAGATGGATACCAAAGATAATACTTGAATAACTCGAAGATGAGCAACTGAAGAACTTTGACATATCACAGAAGCATATAACCTGTGACACCTTTACAAGTAATTAAAAGTGCAAGAAGGTGTGTTGTATCATTGTTATCAACCAATAAGACATGGTGTTCTGACAGGGGTGCAGTTAGTAGTCCCAAGATCTCTATGGCGAGAAATACTCTAAACTTTACATAACACAAATACTGGAGGATACCAATGTGCAATCCTCACTTGTATTAACCTTTGATACAGGTTATTCCCTGTGAATGTCATGTATTATTCCCCTACAAAGATATGTCATCTAATGTCCCCAGGAGTATGATGGTAGAAGCACATACATCTGCCCATTAATAAAGAAGTGTTGTGACTGAATAGTGGATGTTCTAATGTGGCGACTGGGTGAGGATCACCTAACCTGAGTCAGTTCAACTGTCTAGGACTCAAAAAGTATCAACCCCCATTCTTTCCAACTGGAACAGAGGCCCGGCATGGCCAAGTGGTTAGGGCACTCGACTCGCAATCTGAGGGTCGCAGGTTCGAATCCCCGTCCCACCAAACATGCTCGCCCTTTCAGCCGTGGGGGCGTTATAATGTGACGGTCAATCCCACTATTCGTTGGTAAAAGAGTAGCCCAAGAGTTGGCGGTGGGTGGTGATGACTAGCTGCCTTCCCTTTAGTCTTACACTGCTAAATTAGGGACGGCTAGCGCAGATAGCCCTCGTGTAGCTTTGCGCGAAATTCAAAAACAATCCAACTGGAACTGGGCTCTGTATACATGACAACCAGGTGGTAAATTAGTGTAATATATACATGACTGTTTAATTTTAATATGAGCATTATGATTTTGATAGTTTACATAGTGTGAGTATTAAAGTTAACTTATTTTTAGAAGTGACAGTTTGGCCAAGATTGTTTACTTAACTGTTAATGAATCATTCATTATATAGTTCTATTGTTGTGAACTAATGTCATGTTACTCAAACCATCTGAATTTTTCTAGTTGTGTCAAAAAGTTATTTATATATATAGAGAGAAAGAGATCTAGACTGTGTGTTTGTGAGTTTTGGCAGAAAGAGTTTATAGTACCTAGTTTTAAAGTGAAATTATCATCGATTGTATTGTAATAACAGAGCACAGAAGGATAATTCGTCTTGTCAGTTGTGTTCTAAAGTAAAAGACCCAGCCTGTGTGGTCTTTGACAAAAAGAGACGATTACTTAAAGCTCTGAGAATGACTGTAGTAATCAACTGTGTAATGCACATTTTTATATATGCTTGACTTATTTTAATAGATTATTTTAAAACAAGTGGATTCTGTGCTGTTTATTTGTTGTTGAAATTTATCGCCAAAATAACACAGACACATACTGTAAAGAATCCAGACCATACTTATAATACATGATATTGGAGAGCTAGCTAGGATACTACAGAAGTAAATGGCAGAGAAATGGACCAAAACAGTGGGGAAAATGACCTATATATGCACAGCTATAGTGGTGATGA